TTTTAGGAGCGTGACAAGGAGAGTGGCCTTTTAGGAGCATGACAAGGAGAGTGGCCTTTTAGGAGCATGACAAGGAGAGTGGCCTTTTAGGAGCATGACAAGGACAGTGGCCTTTTAGGAGCATGACAAGGAGAGTGGCCTTTTAGGAGCGCACATTTTTTGTACTTTAATCAAACACCCCCCACCCCCCCAAAAATATCCGTTGGAAAACGTTAGTAAGCCAAACCGGTCCCTGGTGTACAAACTGCCGGCTTCCATTCCTTCAAGACGCCACGAGTTTCCGACCCGGTGGATACCTCGTTAAAATTAATTCGAAACACTCTGTAGAATTGAAAAGTTTTATTATTTTGTTGAAAGTTTGTTTGAGATTAAGTATAGTATAAAGAAAAATTATTTTTTAAATGTCGCTCAGCCCACCAAACAACACATCATGCCCATGCCTAATGAGTCCTGCACCTCGGATTTCAGTTGCTGCTGCTGCTGGCCTAGCTCTTCCAGAATTAATTTCATTTGCGTCAGGCTCAAGTTGTTTATATCGTTACCAATCTCTGCCACATAATCATTTTCTTCCGCCACCCCATTTTTATCACGACTGGGTTTCTTGTTCAGGCGGTCGCCACTTGATCGTGTATCACCATCGCGATCATTCAGTCCTTGAACTGAGCCCAGGTTTTCGTTATCCCGTGTAACGCCGGTAAAGACGGTATCGCCCGAACTAACCTTGACCTTGTCCTTTTTGGCCTGCCCCTTATTCAAGGTTTGTGAAGACGGAACCATTGTTTGAATCAGGGCTCGACTCATGGGATGTTCCGTCAAATTTATGTCATGGCGAGAAAAGGTGGGGACCGTGGCAGTTCCGATGTCACTAGATGATGGCGCCCGGGCTGCGAGCAACGGAGATTCCCAGTCTACCGCTTGCTGAGACAAATCGGAAGTTGGAGTTGTGAGCTTCTGGTGGACATTCCCCGATAACGTGGTAATTGGATTATCGGGACCTGTTGAGCATGACATTGGAATTACGTAAAAGAGTGGGTGTAAATTGTGTATTTGACGAGCTTCGGGACAAAACGTAACTGCCACAATTAATCTCATGGTGACTTTTTTTTGGGGGGGGGGGGGGATTGGGGAATTTTACAAAAATAAAATAAAAAATCTTGCATTCTTAGAACTTTGCGCCCGTAATTAACACCATTTGATGCCATCGCCCGAAGCAGCCACGGCCCTCCACGCAGGGGCACCACTCCAACATCATTTATTCTAGGCTCCGCGTGCTAATCAATGTACCGAGAAAAGTAGTTAAAATATCAGCCACGGGCCATGCAGCACGTGGGGCCCTTGGGCCAGTGTCCATTGAGGCTTGCTTGTGACTGACCACCCAGGATCTTAGTGATAATCACTGTTACATAACATTTCCCAATGATAAATAGCCCACAATACGGTATAATCAATTCACACAATTCTCTATATAGTTCTTCAATCAAAATCCATGAGTATCTTAATTATCGTACATGCTAATTGTGAACTTGGCTATGACACCATAAGAGAATCTATGGTGTAAAGGGGAGTTAAATAGCGTGCAAAGTAAAATTCCCGACTACTGCGCTAAATGGGATGCTTAATTAAACAGCCCTTAAAACAAAGTTTTTCTTATAACTCCTATATAGAATCGAGCAGTGGGGCTGAAAATTTGACAAAACATGCATAATACAAGTACACATTAATAAGAATCCCAATTAGAGGGCCCCCCCCCCCCCCCCCCACACCGGAAGGCTCGCAAACCGAACATTTTTTTCCACGCCCCTGAAAAATATTATTATTCTAATGACCCACCCACTTTTACACCACAGATTTATTTCATCAACTATTTCAGAAAAAAAAAGAGCAAATAATATTACGCACCAAAAGCACTTACTGTATTTTCTATGAAAAGAATCTCATTTAGCGCAGTTATGGTACATTTTATATTGTTAAATCGGTGTCATCATATTTCCTTCATCGTCCCCTTGAAAAAAAAAAGGAGGGGGGGGATTCTTGGGCTGAAAATTTGAAAGAATGCGTTGACACAGGCAACTTGTCTATGTGCCAAGTTTCAGCTCGATAGGTTGACGGGAAGTGGGTCAATTAGCCGTCATAAGATTTTGCCAGTCTGCCACCCACACACAAAAGCGAAGTTAACACAAAGGATTTAAAAAGACCACACATGCGTCATATTGTCTTTGTACTGAAAGTTTGATGTTCATGCCTTGGTAAACGTAGAGCTCTGCTGATATGGATTCTCTCGGATCACCTTCTGCTTTAACCTCTTCCGACTGCACTCATTAATTATGATGCCTCGGTGGGAAACCGATGGAGGCAAACAAATTGAGTCCCGCGACAAGGTACCCTTGCCAGTCAGTGGGCCGCCCCGGGTGGCATTTTCGGCCAACGGCAACGTTTTTTGTGTTGTTGTTTTTTCTTGACAGGGGGGCAGCGAAAATCTAGTCCACTCATTGCGACATTTACCCTAACTAGGCCACTATAATTCCTACTTATATTCCTAAAAATGAACCCACCTGTTATCGGCGCTCCTTTGCTTGGCACACCAACATAAAAGACCGCCAGTAGAATGTGCAGAGTATTCATCGTGGCGTCACACCTTTGTTCAAGTGTTTGTTTTTTAAAATTAAAATGGTAATTATTCACATTTTGCATAATATAGGCTCATTTGACATTTTATATAAAAGGGCTTAACCGGGGGAAGGTTTTTACACCGGGTCCGGGTATTTTGAGGGACCATTATCAGATATGACGTCAGTATGACGACAGCAGATGGACGACGTTGTACAGAGCTTAAAAAGTGATAGAATTGATAAAATTTATTGGGATGGTGAATTAACCGACATGGCTCAATGTAAAATTTTATCCTGGTTAATTAACCGACAAGTAGGCCTAGTCTACCCGACCTTTAAACAATAGGCCAACAGGCAATCCTACAATAGGCCTACAGACAATCCTACAATAGGCTTACAGGCAGTCCTACAATAGGCCTACAGACAATCCTACAATAGGTCTACAGACAATCCAATAGGCCTACAGACAATCATACAATAGGCCCACAGACAGTCCTGCGCCATAAATTCCGGCCTCTAAAAAATAGAGCCGCAGAGAGTCCTACAGACAGTCATACACTTGATCCGTGGCTCTTTATTGAATTGTTTAATAGCCGCCTCTTAAAAATTAAACATGGATTCAACCGTCACGCATGACGTGTTCTTCTTGACAGCTTCCCCCCCCCCCTTTTCTCAGTACTATTAATATAAAACTAAAACATTGAGTACGAAACAGGGGAGGTCCGGTTGTGAAAAGGAAGCAGCCACACCACAAGCAAAATATAAATAAGATATATATTATAATTTATTGAATTGTTTAATAGCCGCCTCTTAAAAATTAAACATGGATTCAACCGTCACGCATGACGTGTTCTTCTTGACAGCTTCCCCCCCCCCCCTTTTCTCAGTACTATTAATATAAAACTAAAACATTGAGTACGAAACAGGGGAGGTCCGGTTGTGAAAAGGAAGCAGCCACACCACAAGCAAAATATAAATAAGATATATATTATATAATATATATAAAATATTTTTTACTAAAATAATGTTTATTATCTTACCTCATTTAAACCTGGCAACTTCTATGAGAGAAAAACAATATGTCTAATTGCATTTGAACAGCAATTTTTGTCAGTTGTGTTGTATCACCCGAATCAAGTCATTTAAAAAACAGATGACATCGTCTCTCTCGACACAGTGATAATTGATAGCCAATAAATTAGAATTCTATACTGATAACTAAATTTATCGATAACCTCATTTAATTCACACCGTACATTGATCACTATCACAATAATGTCACCACTGAGGACAGCTCTTGTACCGAATTGGGATATTTTAATATTAGTAGATAATCGTTGGTAGTGGGTAGGCCCAAAAATCAAGGGTTGATTGAATCTTGTCGAAGTTTATCGTAAAAATGACACATCTTATAGATAAATAAGTCATTTTATAAAGATGTAGTCTAATTGTAGAAGTTTAGCATAATGTTGATTGAATACTTACTTATCGCTTGTGTCCATATGATATTTTAGCATGCCCACCGAGCTCTGATGATACAAAATCTATTTAACGAAAAAAGGCTTTAAATGTTTCTTAAATTATCTTTATCATTTTTAATCTCCCTCAAAGATTGAGGCAAACTGTTCCATAATTTAGGCGCAATAACAGCTTCAACAGAGCGCACTCCGAATGACTTCTTCCTGGGAACTCTCAGTACGGACAGTGTTGAAGAGCGCAGGCATTTTAATCATACATGTTTGGAAATCAGTTCTTTTAGATTGTCAAGTGCAGAGCCTTCCATACAGCTGTACACGAGGGACAGAATTTTGAGGTCAATGGGCTCATTTACCGGAAGCCAGTCAGTGGTGATACTTTGATACTTTTAAGACCTGGGGTAATGTGGTGAGATTTCTTTATCCGCGAAACAATGCATGCTGCGGTATTTTGTACCTTCTGTAGCACAACTGTTTTACCCTCACCCGGGGAGGGATAAATATAGCTCTCAGTGATCGCTGAGTCCTTTATACAAGTCTAATATAGTATAAATTATAAACCCCTTAAAAATATCTTCCCATGCAATGCCATGGGCATAATTGATTTCCTGCTTATGTTTCTTTACAATGGTTCGGTAAACACTGTTTTGACATATTAAAAAATGGGTAAGAATTTTAATTGTAATAAACAACGAATGCTTGAGAAATACTTACACAATTGGCCGCTTTAAGTTTAAGAACCAACATGCTGCTAAAAAAAAAAGTAACGAAAGACATTAAGACATTCGTTTAAAAAATATTGTAAAATCTTTATTTAAATGCGAATTAACAAAGCAGCTGCAGCTAAGGAGTACAGTATGTCAGGGTCAATGAAGAATTCACGTCAGTAATGACACTGTCAGACTCGGGATGTCATGTCACTGTCAGAATCAGGATGTAATGTCACTATCAGACTCGGGATGTCATGTCATTGTCAGAATCATGATGTAATGTCACGGTCACAATCGATATGCCTCAACTGTTGCTATGATGTACTCAATCAACAAAGTATTTTATACTTTTCTCTACTTTTGTTTAAACAAAGTAATGTTTTAGGAGGATCAATTGCCTTACACTTTACATATTTCTGCTCTACGAGATTTTTCCTTCAACAAAAAACAGCAATCAAAATAAATTTAATTTATTCTTACTCTTTCCAATTTATTATGTTCCTTTGGCTTTCAAACCAACTTGGCAGGCTCTTAATACAGTTTAATCATGAAATTTATTGAAGATCAAGTTATACTTCCTTTATGAAAATATACTCTGATGCTAGATAAAGTAAATACAATGTCAAGTTACTATTCAACTATTACATGTTATTTGTAATGATTCAAATAGGCGAAGAATGCATTTCCTTCACAACTGCATGGTTCAATGAAAATCCAAGACATAAGGACTTGTAATATTTACAACTTTATTTAAATTAGAAGCACAATTTATTTATTTTTTAAATGAGAAAATCCTTTACCAAGAGTATGAGTGTTAGACATAAGCAATGCCCAATAACCAATAATATTTAATTAGCAACAATACAACTCATGTGAAGTCTAGATGACAAAACATTGATATTTTTAAAGTAAATTATTAAAAAATTACTTGAAATAAATGCACGATTAAGAGTCAATAGTAACATGATAGAGAGTTTTAAAAAATTAAAACATTGAAGTTGAAGACTGCAAAAAATTTCTTATCCAAAATTTAAGAGTATATTTCATTCACTCAATTGAATTTCTAATATTAAGGTACAGAGAATAAATAAGAGTTCAAAAGTCTTAGAAACATTGACCACGGTTTAATATCATCTTTGCAAAAAGGTTTTAATATCAAAAACAGATGTGAAATGGGAAGAGTGGTTTTGGTAGAAGTCATTGTCGTGATAGGAATAACAAAGGAACACTGTTGTAACCTCATTCTTAGGATAAAAGGATAAGGTTATTAATTGCACTTTTTGGACTCCTTCCCTAAAAATGAACACATGGATTAGGTGTTATCATCAAGATTACAGGATTAGAGAAAGTGCAACTGAAAGTTTGTTAAAATCTGTTTTCAAATCTCCAGTAATTTAATCGAGATCCAAACAAATTTTAGCCCTGATTAAATAGATGATATGTAAATTCAATCCACCCCGAACCCACTAAAATATATTGTACTTTTTCATACAAACAAGATTTAAGATATAACAAGTTGGGGGGGGGGGGGTGTTGGTTTTCGGCGGCGCTGAAAAGAGATTTTTTCTCTTCTGAAGCAAATTTCTTGGCTTAGCACATTTGTGTAATGACATATTTACAAAATTTACATAATGAAGAGAACTTTTACAATAGATTTTCGAGAATGGTTACATAAAAAAATTAAAACGTTATCGAGTCTGTGCGCCTGAGCCGCGATAGAAATATCCAACGCGGGCAGTATTCTCTGGATAATACATTGTAGGATTCAGAGTAACTTCCCCTTAAAATTTGTTCTTATTCTTTTGAATACATCTCCTTTTCTGTCTGGAAAACGGCTTTTTACTTTAATACCAATAAAATTTAATCAGCAATAATGGAACGTCTCAACAGTTTTGGGTGATTTAAATTTACAGGATAAGTTATTTCTGATTTTTAAATGTGAATAAACTTTTCAATGAAATGCATTTATCAAGGAAGTACAAATTAAGCACAAAATAAACCCTTTTGAAAGATATTGAAAAAACCCAAAACATTTCACTTACATTATAATGGGTAAAATTGTTAATGTATTTCTTGTATTACCAGGAGCCATGCATCAATCTTATTTTTGAAAAATACAGAAATAGGCCTACTTTACAATTTGTTAACATTATCATTCACTTTGGACATTATGATTAAAGATAATTATTTATACGGCCTTAAAAATGTAGTATTTATTGAGGTCGTAACAAACTGTAATTAAATCGTTTAACTAGCTTAGACCTAACAAGTTTGTCTTAGATTTACAATATTCTCTAGTAACTAATGTTTATTATTATTAAAGTCATTCAAATTTTTAGTTAGAAATAGAATTAGAATATAAATGATTTTATCTTTAAAAAATTTTAATGATAAAAACAGTGAAAATAAATGGCAGAATTGAAGAATATTAAACAAAATGCAATGCATGCATAACAAAAAGAATTTGAAGATGCATTGAGTATTCTGGTTTTGAAGCTGAAACTGTATAGAGTATATTGGATTTGAATGTGTATTGAGAGTATTAGATTTGAAGCTATATTGAAAAATTGGATTTGAAGCTGAGGTCATCAGGTCACATGAATGATTGTTCTTGTTTTTCCTCCTCCTCCTTGTTGCCCTTGGTAAAAGCTTTAGCTATTGCATAAATAACACCGGCAGCAAATGCTACTGTTCCTCCAGCTGCTAACCCTGTTATAACAGAGTCCACCTGTTCATTAAAAAATATTATTGTTAGGCAAAATACATTTTAATCTTTTCAAAATGCATGTAAACGAATCTCATCATTAGTATTCTTTATTATACATATAGTCTGTTTTGAGCTCTTAAATGTTTACTCTATAAATTATACTATGTCAGTGTAGGAATAATGATATGAGGACGTTGAGAAATATTCACCTGATCGCTTTTGTTGTTGCCATATCTGCACCAGTTTACAAAGTGCTCACAGTTTGAGTAGATGAGACTGTATTTAACTTCCCCAATTTTCTGTAATGCATTATTAAGAATGCTGTCTACGTCAAGTGGGCTGATGAAAAAAATATGTAAAGATGTATATTTTATTATTTAAAATAAATTTGATCTTAATGATTGATGAAACCTTTACAAGTAAAACACTTTTAACCTCTTAGCTAATGACCTGTTGATCATCTGGCTTGTCACAAACTTTATACCGGTACTCTTGTATGTATATGGCATTTATATTTTGATGGTAATTTTTCATGATTCGATTGTCTGTAACTTTTTATATGTAATTATTACCAACCATACAGTTGAATAATTAACAGCATTTAATAGATTGAAAATATGCTAGTTAAGGTTAATAGATGTTAAAAATCAAAGCAACAGTGGTCACTTTATTTATACAGTATTATTTACAAATTATTATAAAAATTATTTTATGGATCATCATATTTATTTTATGATGAAACACACTAGCACATTCCAAAAATTTGTTTATTAAATTATTTAAATAATTTCTAGTTTAACTTTTACAAGAAGGCATGTGATTGTGAGTCTATATATTTTTTTTCTCCAAATGCAGAGACCTCCGAAACATTACACAAGATAAACAGTGTCCCGTATCCAAACACTTCAATAGTAGCAACCACCAGAGCAAGGCGGACTTTTCAATAAGTGCGATTGTGGCTAGCACGAACACCGCCAGCCAGGTCAATTTGGAACACAGGCTTATCATGACTTATGGCACTTTGACGCCAGATGGGATTAATGTTATGTCTCTGTTCACAGCTTGACCCTAGCTCCGCCCCTCCACGTTCTGACCTATAACAGTGAACTTTTTTCTCCTCTTTTTTTCGCTGTTCCCCATTTAAACTCTCACTCACTTACCTTCTGCCACACTTCTTTTGCTGCCCACAGATACTACTTACCAGCTAAGTGCTATTTCTTATTTTTATTTTTATACCGTTTTTTCTGTTTTGTTCGCTGACGAAGGCTTTCTGCCGACACGTTCACTGTTTTGTTGCGTTTATTTTTTCAGGTTTAACCCTACTCTGTTTTACTCATTTTATTTTGTACTAACCTGATTACAGTCTCTCCCCTTATTACCCTGCAGAGACCTGGCTTGCTTGGGCCCATTTACTTGTCAGCCCATGAAGTGTTCTTTTCCTCCCAGTTAACTAGCTGTCTTGTTAATTTTTTATCATATGATTACAGTGAATCTTAAAAGGACGGTATGCCATATTTTATTTCAAATCTCCTTACCCATGTTATGTCTTTCATAAAACTGTGTCTAACATCACCTATTGTATATTTATCAGCTTACAACAAAAAAACACCTTATATTCACTAGCTAGAAAGAAAGTGAAAATATACCTCCAGAGTTTATCTTTCGAGTTATTTAAGTATGCCTTGTCTTGTCCAACAACATCCCAAAAGTCATCAATGCTGACCCTGGCTTTATCGAATGTCCTGCCACAGATAGTGAACAAATGTTCAGGCTTCACTTTTCCATTGATGCCATCATTATCCTCACCAGCCAAATGAATGATCTTCCCATTCCCTGTAAGCAAAAATATATATATATTTTTTTTTTTAAACATGCAGAAACATAATGACAATCTTTAAATACATATAAATTGTGAACTGCAGATTGACATAATCACTGAGATTCCCTTTATAGTCAACCATAAAATACATTGTCAATAATATATAATATAAGCTAACATGATATAATGTTGAAATAAAAACAACCTTTTAATAATCATTAGGTGGTACCCCAGATTGATATTTGTAATAATTATTGACATGAAGAAAATTGATAATTCTTAAAGCAATAGTAGCAAATGTCAAATGGGGATAAAAAATTGCGCAGATCTTATTGGAACTACCTGAACGGCATCTTCTCAGAGGAAGACACCCCGACCAAGGGTGTTAAGAACAAGTGCTTCTGGAGCTATGTGAAGCACCAATAGTCCTCAAACGCTGGAGTTTCCCCCCTGAGGTGGGATGGCCATTTGACATCTGACCCAAAAGCACAGCCTGAAATACTTAAACAGCAGTTCCAGTCAGTCTTTGGTGACGGTAAAGAGTACTCGGAGTCTGAGTTCCTTCTGAAGACCAAAATGATGAACAGAGCTTACCCCGTCATGGAAGATATCCAGATATCAGAGCAGGGTGCGCTTGCCCTCCTCAAAACCATTAACCCCTACAAAGCATGTGGTCCTGACAACATCAAGCCACGAGTGCTCAAAGAATTAGCCAAAGAAATCACTCCTGCACTGACAATCCTCTTCCAATCATCGCTGTGCACAGGAAATTTTCCAGCAGACTGGAGAGCAGCGCAAGTCACTCTAACCTACAAGAAAGAGGAGCATTCCAACCCTGCCAGCTATCGTCCGAGATCCCTCACCAGTGTGGTCTGCAAACTGTTGGAGCACATAATCGTAAGCACAGTCATGAAGCATCTTGAAAGCCAAAATATACTCAATGACTGTCAACATGGCTTCCGAGTCAATAGATCATGTGAGAACCAGCTCCTTGAATTTATAGAAGAGTTGATGACCAATCTGGAGAACCACAAGCAAACTGACGTGCTGGTGATGGACTTCTCAAAGGCATTTGACAGTGTCAATCATAGTTTGCTTCTACACAAACTTCAGAGATATGGGATCCAAGGCAACACTAATACATTGATCTCTAGCTTCCTCAGCAGCTGATGCCAAGCAGTAGTGGTGGACGGTACAAGCGCCTCCTTTGTTGGTGTGAAGTCAAAGGTCCCCCAGGGATCAGTGCTAGGCCCCTGTTTGTTCCTAGCATACATTAATGACCTACCCAAGAAACTGACATCCCAAGCAAGACTGTTCTCAGATGACACCGCTGTGTATAGGACGATCGCCAACAGATCTGACCAGAACCAGCTACAACAGGATCTCAATCCGTTAGCTGAGTGGGAGATGAGCTGGGACATGGAATTTACTCCTGCCAAGTGCCACACACAATCAGTCTCTAGAAGTTGTAATCCTCTACACTACCAATACGAACTGCATGACCATATACTTGAGCCAGTTTCCTCCGTAAAGTACCTGGGTGTTAACCATTCAAAGAGAGGTCCGCTGGGACGAGCATATTAACAATGTATGTAACCAAGCAAACAAGACTCTGGGGTTCTTAAGGCGTGATCTAAAGATTGGCAACTCCTGTGTGAAAGAAAGAGCCTACAAAGCCTTTGTCCGTCCGGTTTTAGATTATACATCTTCAGTCTGTGACCCATTTACCCAGAAGAGCATTGACAGGTTGGAGGCGGTCCAGTGATGGGCAGCATGCTTTGTCCTGAACCACTACAGGAATACCTCTAGTGTTTGCAGCATGCTGGAAACACTAGTAGTCTGGTCACCTTTGGAGGAATGAAGACAACTATCCAGGCTCTCCATAATGTACAAGATAAATAATGGGCTAGTCCACTGTTCCAGTATTAAACAGAAACTCTTCCCTTTCCCCCATAGATAGCGACGAGGCCATGAAGCCATTATAAGAATTGCTCATTCCTACCAAAGACAATCAGGGACTGGAACAAGCTTTCAAAAGGGACAGTTGAGGCGACAACACTAGACACATTTGCGTCAATTGCCTCAAGCCTTACAACCCTCAGTGCATGATTCCCTCACAAAGTAGCACTTGCAATCAGTGAAATATCCTCATCAACACTAGGCACAGAAACATTGCAAATCCCCTCTACATGCATAGGAGCCAAAATGATCAATAAATTGATCATGGGCCCTTAATATATAGAAGAAGAAGACAAAATTCAGTAGCATATCAAGATAAATAAACTTACCAAAATAAATTCCCCAGTGCGAGTAAATGCGTCTTTGAAATTGCACTCTGTCACCTGGTCGCAGCTGATTAAAAACTTCTAAGTTGTGTAAATAATTTGGACCCTTTCCTGACATGATTGTTCATTAATTAAACAGCAGGAATCATGTGCCTTATTTCTTTACTGCTGAAATTTAATAACAATAGTCATAGTATAGGCCTACTGAATTTATGTTAAGAATTAAATAATACATCATATTTGATCCTAAGTAAATTTAAATTAACTAGCAATAATAATAAAAATAATTAGTAGTTAATAGCCTGTAGACTGTAGTAGTCTATAGTTAGACCCAGACCCAAGTCCAAGTATTATGATTACAACTAATTATCTAAATCTAGTCCTAGTGACAGTTATTATTATTAACTTAAGCCAGTGTCAGTTATACTGAGACTAGTAAAACAAAACTAGTATTGCTCTATAACTGTATTATAATATATAATAATATAATATATAGCAATATAGTCTAGTAAATTATGGTAATTTATATAATATATTATATATTGATTGTCAATTATTGTCATTCATTGTGACAGGCGGTAAAAATTAGTTTACAATTTACAGGAGAACAGTACTTAACTTATTATATTAACTAACTTACTTACTACTTAGACTTATAACTTAATGACTTAGACAAATTCAAACCCTCAAGTACAAAGAAACTAGAAAACGATCTTGAAGATATTCTTATTAGTATTTATTTTTGGCTGCATCTATAGGTACCCGGGTACTTATGGTCGCCAATGACGATTCGCACCCGGCGTGGCTCCATACATATTAAATGGCTTCGGGGCCGGGTGTGATAACAATAATAGTATGAGAATTATTTTTTAAAATGTTTTTTCTCCTTGTTATTTCATTGGTTCATAGTTTTATTATTTTTAGTTGTTTTTTTATTTTTGCTTTGTTAATTTCTCTTAGTTTTATTTTCTTTTTTTAGTTTAAGCCATTTTCGTAGATCATTTAAAAAAAAAAAAATCTACTAATGAAGATGATTTAAGATACATTTATTGTTTTCATTTGAATTTTAGAAAAGTTATAATATTAATTTAATTATTAAAATTAAATCCTTTATTTAAGATTATTTATGTGTATTGTTTAAGTTCAAAGATTTAATCACACAGTACTTTATGAATTATTTAGGTATTCTAAATAATGAAAATTTCATTCATATTGAATTAATTTCAACTATTCCTCTAGAGAGCTTGGCTTAGTCAGAACAAAACCACCAATTTTAAACCTTTTCCTTGGCACTGGGAGTCATACATGCGGACACTGACTGTTTTTCCTGATACCGGTATCTTGAATCTCCTTTCAACAACCTTTCTCATTTGACTTGACCTAATTCACAAGGTAGTTGCAATGAACATCTTAAAGTTAAAGGATGCCATTGCATAAAGTATGAGAAAGAGACTTATTTTTGGAGGACCAGTCTTATTTTTTTTTTTACCATATCTGTCTACTGGGTCTAACACACTGGTACATAATTTAATAGAAA